TAGTGCACACGCTCGCCACAGCCCCATTCATTCCTATGGAAGGTCCCTACTCTGCTGGATGGCTCTGCATCCCGGCCGGGTCCTATACCTAGTGCACACGCTCGCCACAGCCCCATTCATTCCTATGGAAGGTCCCTACTCTGCTGGATGGCTCTGCATCCCGGCCGGGTCCTATACCTAGTGCACACGCTCGCCACAGCCCCATTCATTCCTATGGAAGGTCCCTACTCTGCTGGATGGCTCTGCATCCCGGCCGGGTCCTATACCTAGTGCACACGCTCGCCACAGCCCCATTCATTCCTATGGAAGGTCCCTACTCTGCTGGATGGCTCTGCATCCCGGCCGGGTCCTATACCTAGTGCACACGCTCGCCACAGCCCCATTCATTCCTATGGAAGGTCCCTACTCTGCTGGATGGCTCTGCATCCCGGCCGGGTCCTATACCTAGTGCACACGCTCGCCACAGCCCCATTCATTCCTATGGAAGGTCCCTACTCTGCTGGATGGCTCTGCATCCCGGCCGGGTCCTATACCTAGTGCACACGCTCGCCACAGCCCCATTCATTCCTATGGAAGGTCCCTACTCTGCTGGATGGCTCTGCATCCCGGCCGGGTCCTATACCTAGTGCACACGCTCGCCACAGCCCCATTCATTCCTATGGAAGGTCCCTACTCTGCTGGATGGCTCTGCATCCCGGCCGGGTCCTATACCTAGTGCACACGCTCGCCACAGCCCCATTCATTCCTATGGAAGGTCCCTACTCTGCTGGATGGCTCTGCATCCCGGCCGGGTCCTATACCTAGTGCACACGCTCGCCACAGCCCCATTCATTCCTATGGAAGGTCCCTACTCTGCTGGATGGCTCTGCATCCCGGCCGGGTCCTATACCTAGTGCACACGCTCGCCACAGCCCCATTCATTCCTATGGAAGGTCCCTACTCTGCTGGATGGCTCTGCATCCCGGCCGGGTCCTATACCTAGTGCACACGCTCGCCACAGCCCCATTCATTCCTATGGAAGGTCCCTACTCTGCTGGATGGCTCTGCATCCCGGCCGGGTCCTATACCTAGTGCACACGCTCGCCACAGCCCCATTCATTCCTATGGAAGGTCCCTACTCTGCTGGATGGCTCTGCATCCCGGCCGGGTCCTATACCTAGTGCACACGCTCGCCACAGCCCCATTCATTCCTATGGAAGGTCCCTACTCTGCTGGATGGCTCTGCATCCCGGCCGGGTCCTATACCTAGTGCACACGCTCGCCACAGCCCCATTCATTCCTATGGAAGGTCCCTACTCTGCTGGATGGCTCTGCATCCCGGCCGGGTCCTATACCTAGTGCACACGCTCGCCACAGCCCCATTCATTCCTATGGAAGGTCCCTACTCTGCTGGATGGCTCTGCATCCCGGCCGGGTCCTATACCTAGTGCACACGCTCGCCACAGCCCCATTCATTCCTATGGAAGGTCCCTACTCTGCTGGATGGCTCTGCATCCCGGCCGGGTCCTATACCTAGTGCACACGCTCGCCACAGCCCCATTCATTCCTATGGAAGGTCCCTACTCTGCTGGATGGCTCTGCATCCCGGCCGGGTCCTATACCTAGTGCACACGCTCGCCACAGCCCCATTCATTCCTATGGAAGGTCCCTACTCTGCTGGATGGCTCTGCATCCCGGCCGGGTCCTATACCTAGTGCACACGCTCGCCACAGCCCCATTCATTCCTATGGAAGGTCCCTACTCTGCTGGATGGCTCTGCATCCCGGCCGGGTCCTATACCTAGTGCACACGCTCGCCACAGCCCCATTCATTCCTATGGAAGGTCCCTACTCTGCTGGATGGCTCTGCATCCCGGCCGGGTCCTATACCTAGTGCACACGCTCGCCACAGCCCCATTCATTCCTATGGAAGGTCCCTACTCTGCTGGATGGCTCTGCATCCCGGCCGGGTCCTATACCTAGTGCACACGCTCGCCACAGCCCCATTCATTCCTATGGAAGGTCCCTACTCTGCTGGATGGCTCTGCATCCCGGCCGGGTCCTATACCTAGTGCACACGCTCGCCACAGCCCCATTCATTCCTATGGAAGGTCCCTACTCTGCTGGATGGCTCTGCATCCCGGCCGGGTCCTATACCTAGTGCACACGCTCGCCACAGCCCCATTCATTCCTATGGAAGGTCCCTACTCTGCTGGATGGCTCTGCATCCCGGCCGGGTCCTATACCTAGTGCACACGCTCGCCACAGCCCCATTCATTCCTATGGAAGGTCCCTACTCTGCTGGATGGCTCTGCATCCCGGCCGGGTCCTATACCTAGTGCACACGCTCGCCACAGCCCCATTCATTCCTATGGAAGGTCCCTACTCTGCTGGATGGCTCTGCATCCCGGCCGGGTCCTATACCTAGTGCACACGCTCGCCACAGCCCCATTCATTCCTATGGAAGGTCCCTACTCTGCTGGATGGCTCTGCATCCCGGCCGGGTCCTATACCTAGTGCACACGCTCGCCACAGCCCCATTCATTCCTATGGAAGGTCCCTACTCTGCTGGATGGCTCTGCATCCCATACATCCCGGCCGGGTCCTATACCTAGTGCACACGCTTGCCACAGCCCCATTCATTCCTATGGATAGTCCCTACTCTGCTGGATGGGCTTTGTACTGTGACCGTCATTGAATATTTTTGATATCCTCTTGGTTGCTTCTCTGCAGAAACCAGCAACGGAGGAAACATCGCAATCAATGACCCTAATTCTGTGCTTGGGGGCCGCATCTACTGTCTCTGGACTCCGCAGCGGGGGTGAGAGCTGCTTCCTGTGGTGTGATCACTGCAAATATGCGCTCACCTTAAAGCGCAACTATACCACCTGATCAAATTGTAAAATGTACCCACCTCCCCCGGAGCTTTTTGCCATCATGTCTAATTTTTTCCATCTTAATGGGCTGGGGATGACCTTTCACCCCGGAATGCTCACCAGTGTCCCCTTTTTGTCCTGGTACAGACCCGTACTGAGCTGCACATGCGTACAGTTATGGCGCTGACAGGCAGGGAGAAATCCCAATCGCACATGAGACATAACAGGGTCTCTTTTCTCTTATAAAAGCAACCTGTCGGCACTCTTAACAGACCTCACTTCCACTTTAATGCGGCGTGTCTACTTCCAAAGCAGCCGGCCAATGGGGGGCGAGAAAGAGGACGTTCCGTGATAGAACTGTGAGGACCCTTCGTAGGAAGGGAAGCATCCAGTCTACTCTTAACTGCTTTGTGACCGCAGTACGCCCTTCTGAGTCTTCACACACACAATGCCCCGTGCTGGGAGAGTGATAAAGACTTAGTCCAACTTTTAGTTCGTGTTGTACCCATATTTAAGGTGTAACATGAAACATGGCTGCATACCCCATGTCCCCCTATGCTCCCCCCTCCCATACACGCATACACTTGCCTTCTTACTTCATGCTGCACCCATATTCGAGGTGTAACATGACACATGGCTGCATACCCCATGTCCCCCTATGCTCCCCCCTCCCATACACGCATACACTTGCCTTCTTCATGCTGCACCCATATTGGAGGTGTAACATGACACATGGCTGCATACCCCATGTCCCTCTGTGCTACCCCCTCCCATACACGCATACACTTGCCTTCTTCATGTTGCACCCATATACAAGGTGTAACATGACACATGGCTGCATACCCCATGTCCCCTATGCTCCCCCCTCCCATACACGCATACACTTGCCTTCTTCATGTTGCACCCATATACAAGGTGTAACATGACACATGGCTGCATACCCCATGTCCCCTATGCTCCCCCCTCCCATACACGCATACACTTGCCTTCTTCATGTTGCACCCATATACAAGGTGTAACATGACACATGGCTCCATGCCCCTCTGTGCTACCCCCTCCCATACACACATACACTTACCTTCTTACTTCTCCCTGCAGGAATGCGTCATGGCATGCTGGCCATCCCTCCTTCCTGTTTGCTGTGGTTCAGTGGCACTTCCTGCAGCCAAATCCATACCTCGGCCTGGGGGAAGAGGTTTGCAGAAGCCTGAGCCATGCACTGATCACGGTTGCAATGCTTTGCAGAGGCTGTGCCCCCCCTCTCTCCACTCCTTCCCCCCTGGACTTCAAGGGTTATATTCTTAAGTGTTAGGGGTAGAGCAGGAGTGGGCAACCTCGGCACTACAAATCCCACAATGCCTCTTCGAGGTCATGCCTGTGGCTGACGGTGTTTGAATGTCTTCTGGGACTTGTAGTTGCACCACAGCCGGAGTGCCGAGGTTGCCCACCCCTTGGGTAGTGGAATAAGGTGTAATGCTTCCCTTATTTCTCGCCCTGGCACGGTTTCAGCCCCGTCCTCTTCTTCTTTCCGGTCCTCATGTGGAATGCAGGACTATTGATCCTGCACTGTACGTGATGATGTCAGCGTGAGAGCGCCGAGAAGCGACGTCGGGGGATCAGGCGCACGGTGTTGTAGAAACTTGCCTGAGAGAGGAATAGGGTAAGTATCGCAGCCTAAGGCCCCCACTCGCACTCAGCGGCACTTACCTCGAGCGGATTTCCGCGACTGTTCGGGCGACCTTCACCGTGGGGCCCGCGTGCAAAAATAGAAAAATCGCGCGACATCTGCGGGGAAAAAGGGTCCTGCACAAGCGACGAGCGCCAGGCGCCATGGAGCTGGAGAATAGAATGGCTCCATTGAAAAATCATTGGCCGAGCGACTTCTCGCAGCAAATATGCGCGATTATACGCTCAGTGTGAATGGCCATTTATCCTCTACCCCTAGAGCAGTGCAGGGGGACCCCGTTGCAAAAAAAAAAATACCAGAGTTCCGCTTTAAGCCAAAAGTTTGTTGTAGTTTTGGATCGAGCGACGAGGGATTCCCTGTCGGGAACAGTTGATTTTGATTTTCTGTGTTTTTACTTTCATCTCGGCAGAAAAGTAATTTGTATGTCTTCTAACCAGGCTCCGTTGGCGATTCGGTGATGGAAAACGGCGACCAGAGAGTCATAACCATAGTAACAGACGGAGTCCAGTTGGGGCAACTCCACACCTCCCAGCACATGCGCCACCCGCTTCTAGTGACCATTCAGAATGGCGAACAAGGTAAACGTCTGTTATACGCTGCGTAGGTGTGATCAGCCGGTTATTGGGGAACCTTTTCCTGCAAAGACTGGGGGACCCCGATCTACCTAGAATGGTCACATATACCCGTAGACTGAAATATCAGCAAGCGCACTATGCACAGTATAGGAACACAAAGTCCAAAAAAGGATCCGCCACATGTACCAGTGTGCCGTGTATGGAAGACGTGCGCTCTACACTGCGGTATAAGGAAGGTATAGTAGTGGTGCTGGAGTGAGTGAGAGCATGACGGAGGCGTTAGCTGGACGGACTTCAAGGAGAGGGGGGGGTATGATCACCTTGTAAAAACCGAATGGGAACAAGGTAACTGTCTCTAAAGGAGAACTATGGGGTCAGTGTTTTCCCCCCCATAGTTCTCCTAAGGGTCACGGGAGGACATAAACTAGCATCGTTCCGTTAACCTAAGCTCAGTATACCGTAGAGAGCTTCATGGAATGTGTTTCCATGGCCGAGCAGCTGCATCCAAGCCGCACATCACCAAGTGCAATGCAAAGCGTGGGATGCCGTGGTGTAAAGCGCGCCGCCACTGGACTCTAGAGAAGTGGAGGCGTGGTCTCTGGAGTGACCAATCACGCTTCTCTGGCTGGCAATCCGATGGGCGTGTCTGGGTTTGGCGGTTGCCAGGGGAACGGTATTTGTCTGACTGCATTGTGCCAAGTGTAAAGTTTGATGGGGGGGGGGGCGGTTTTTTATCGGGGTTGGGCTCCGCCCCTTAGTTCCAGTGAAGGGAACTCTTAAGGCCTCAGCACACCAAGACATTTTGGACAACTTTGTGGGAGGAGTTTGGGGACGGCCCCTTCCTTTTCCAGCATGACTGCACAAAGCAAGGTCCATAAAGACATGTTTGGGGGGGAGGAACGTGACTGGCCGCACAGAGTCCTGACCTCAACCCCATAGAACACCTTTGGGATGAATTAGAGGCGGAGACTGCGAGCCCCTCCCCCAACATCAGTACCTGACCTCACAAATGGTCCAACATTCCCATAGACACACCCCTAAACCTTGCGGACGCCTTCCCAGAAGAGGCGGAGCTGTTATAGCGGCAAAGGGCGGAGCCAACCCAATACTGAACCCTACGGACTAAGACTGGGATGCCATTAGAGTTCATGTGCGTGTAAAGACTTCCCGATACTTTTGGCAATATAGTGAATGTCCGATTTCAGCTTTGTGAATTTAATTTTGCACCTCGGCCAGTTTGGTATATGGTCATTGACATCAGCTGAACCGGCTGTAATGGTCTCCTCCCTCCCACCCCCCAGTTGTTGCAATACCAGAAGAAGACATCATAGAAGAGGTGGTGACGGAAGACGAGCCTCCTCCAACCAAGAGACAAAGGACAGAAGCTGGTGAAAGAAACGCAGCGAGCAGCACGGTAAGAAGCCTTCCAGACCAGAAACTGTTCTTTTTATTGTGAAGTGCAAAACCATAACCGGGGGGCAGAGGCGTTTTTTGTAAATTATCAGGAAGTCAAGCGGCGGATCATGGCCCGTCACCCGGCTTCCTGATTGCCTGTGAAGCCGGCCGTTCTAGCAAAAGAACACCGGCTTCACTTGCTGAGGCTGCCTGGCTTCCTGACCAATCAGGAAGCCGGGCGGCGAGTCATGAGGTGCCGTCCAGTTCCTGATTGGCTATGAAGCCAGCTTCACTTGTTGCTAGGCAGCCTGGCTTCCTGACCAATCAGGAAGCCATGATGCCAGTCGTGACATGCCGCTTGGCTTCCTTCCTTGGGTAAGAAGCCAGGCTGCCTCCCAACAAGTGAAGTTGGCATCCTAGCCAAACAGGAAGCCGAGCAGCACGTCATGACCTGCCTCCCGGCTTCCTGATTGGCTAGGAAGCAGGATTCACTTGTTCCTAGCCAGCCTGGCTTCCTGACCAATCAGGGAGATGGGTCATTGCGTGCTGCCTGGCTTCCTGATTGGTAGCAACAAGTGAAGCTGGCTTCCTAGCCAACCACGAAGCCAGGAGGCGGGTCATAATCCACCGCCTGACTTCCTGATTGGAAAGGAAGCCGGCTCCATGCTCCCTCGGCACTGCCGGTCAGAGGGAGATCATCCTCTGACTGGAAGTTCCAGTATGGGAGCATTCGGTATCGGCGCATCCCTACTAGTAACGTAGTGCGAGGGGTGCAGACATCAGTCACTCCTGGAATTGACAAATGCTAAAGAGACTGTCGCAGGCTGCAGTGCAGGAAGCTGGGAGACCTGGGCTGCCGGAGAAGAGAGTATTGGAGCTCTTCTGCTTGTGCCCTCCCGTTACCCTAAGGAGAACTATGGGGAAAAGCCCTGACCACATACTTCTCCTTTTAATTGCTCAGAGCTATGGTGAAATATTGACAGTCCGAGGGAGCAGGTAACCTCCTCCCATGATGCAGTGGTCGGGCCTAGCGGCCATATAGCAGGCCTGTTACAGGAGGACGGCGTACACCCCGAGATCACGCGTGTGGCAGTCTTCACACTTCTGACCATTATTGTTTTGTATTTCTCTTTTAAGGCCAAGCAGCCGGATGTCGCCACGAAGATGCTGCAGCAACAGCTGCACGAGGCCAACCAGCGGGCCAGCGAGTACAGGCAGCAGCTCATGGCCAAGGAGAAGGAAGCGGAGAGCTACAGGCTGAGGCTGGAGGACCTGTCGAGGCAGCACGTCAACGGGGACGACTGCACGGAACTGGACGAGGGAGAGACGATCATCGTGTCCACGGAGGAGCTGGAGGGGACGGAAGTGACGGAGGTAGAGACAGTGGAACACCACAGTGACATCACGGCCATGTGACGCCGCGGCTCGTAGGGCGTCGGATGTGCAGACTTTTTGAAACGTCTCAGGAGAAGCTACGGGGGGGAGCGCTGAAGATCGGTGAAGGGTTGGCCGCTCATCGGACGCAATGAAAGCTCATCCCCTGCCCTCCACTGCTTCCGTTCCAGGTGACCCCCGGCAGTCTTTGGGATCTTGCGTAAAAAAGTGATCGGTAGGTTGACCTTTCAAGTAATCCTGCTGACCCCCGAGGGCATTTCAAAGTGAGCATGCGGTGGGGAAAAAAAATATTGTGAACCCGACCTTGCCTAAAATGTTTCCTGGGTCGCAGCCATGCTAA